AATCATTACAAAGTTCACCTAAGCGAAGACACTTTGAAAAATACTTTCAAAACCATCACAAACACATTTTTAAGCAAAGCATTTTAAAGTGAGCTAGCAACTAAGAGCCTGTAGATAACTACGGGAGAAAAGGGTGCTAACACCTTCCCTTTTCATAACCTACCCCCCCAAACTCAAGAAAAATTCTCAAAAGGTCTTTCCTATTCTTTTCACCCTTTCCTTTATTGGACAAAAGAAAAGTCGGTGGCGACTCTTGCTATCCGTAACAATTGCGATAAAACGCAAAACACCCAAGTCAGTTCTCCCACCGTATTACACCCTCTATACGGTAACCGATTACCACTAAGTCTGGCAGATATTTTTTAAAACTTGAAAATTCATAACTTTTGGCTCATGTGTCTGTTTGACGCGCCGTTTGAACTTATGGAAACATAAAAATATTTTCTATCCAATAAAAATAATTTTAAAACCGTATGAGATGATTTTCTGGATGTTTATTTTGTTCCGATATTTTAATGTAATTGTGAAGTTGTGAATATGACGATGAAATCGATGAGATTTCATGATGTAGTGATGTTGCAATGATGTACGAATAACGATGTGTGATTGGTGACCGGTGTTGACTTATTTTGTTGATATGTGTCGTGTCATTGCATAAGTTGTTGTAACATATTAGTGTTACATGCATGTTCATAAGCGACAGTGTACCCTCAATGGCAAGCGATGGTGTAGCCTTAATGTCAAGCGACAGTGTGGCCTAAATGGTAAAGAGATGTTGTTATAGTACCACATGCATATAGTCATTGAAGTTGGTCACATTGAATTCATGATGTTATTGGTAAATAAGATGTAATTTATTTGATTGTGGGTGTGATTGTTGAAATTGTGACGTGTATTGGTGTTGATGCACAAAGTATGAATATTATGATTATGTATGCCATACCTTATCTATTCATTATCATATTTTCGTTTATATTATTATGATATCTCGTCCCTTATGTTTGAATGTTACCTCCACGTGGGTAACACGTAGGTGACAAGGATTAGAGTTGCTTGAGGTATGGAGTTGCACCTCGTATTGCGTAGATTGAGTCGGGTCTTGCTCTGATACGTAACACCGAAGATGAACGCTTGTTTGCTATTTCAGTTGTTATTTATTTTTAAAGGATTTGTGTGAGTATTATAAACTCTCTTTTGGTTTGATTAACTTGTCGGTATGATGAGTTCAAGATGTTGAAAATACTTTATGAATTTTCTTTCCTCTGGATTAATAAAGTAGAGGTTGAGAATCATGTTTTAAAGATGTTGTCGGCTCATCCGAAATAAGTGTGTTATGTATCCATTTGTTAAATATTTGAGCAATTTGCATGATGTTGAATGAATGTGACATCCTATTTTGAGGTTGATTTAAATTTTTAATTTACTCTAGTTTTATTAAATTATCAATGGAGAAAATAAGGTGTTACAAATAGTGTTTCTCCAAAGCTTGGGACTACTAAGAATCTACTGGAAGATATTTTAACAAAAAGAATTGGATGCAAATCATTGAGAATTTGAGGGATGTGTTTTGGGAATTTGTACTGCTGAAGTATTATAGGAATTAGAGACTACGAGGTTCGCAAATAATATTTTCTCATCTTCATCTAAGTGGTGCATGCAAATTCAAGACAAATATTTTCCAATGTCAACTAGATATGGTTGTTACTGGTCAAAGGAAATGTTCGTTTAAATGTGTGAAAATCTTGGGAAGAGAGTAAGAAGAACAAGATAGTGTCTCTCTCCTATGGTGAGTGGTGCTATGTTAATAAGGATGACTATAATTCCTTCAAAAACTCTCTCCTTGACTGGTCATTTGTTACACGGAAGGTTTTTATTCTCTATTAAATTCCAAAATCATTACTACTTCTTCCTCCTATCAAGCTTTGTTTCAACATGAGGCAATCGTCCAAAAATGATGATGCTAAAAGGGTCTATTTGCTGGAAGCTAAGTCAGGAAAGAAGGATAAGAGTTTTAATTCAAAGAAGTTTGAATCCAAGGTGGAAACATTTCTTGGATCATCTATTGAAGTCTCTATGATAGGGAAAAAGTCTATGACTAAGATGAAATCCTGCAAGAAAAGTCATGTTCAATTACATGACCTTGACTCAGATGTTAATGAAGATTGAGTTGCTTATGTTGACTCAGTGGTTTGTTTGAATAGCTGATTTTAAATATGACCCTTACTTTTTGTTGTTTGGATCGGTATTAATTTCCTAACATTGGTTTCCTTCCATCATTTTTTGTTTTTGTTTGCTTCCATTAGCTTTTATTTTCATTACTAGTGTGTGTTTCAATTTGTGGTTATTGCTTGTGTGCAATATAATTATTTTTACATTTACTCTATTTTTGTGAATTTTTGGCTAAAAAAGGGAGTAAAGTGTTAGTCTGCTTTTGTTTATCCTGATGTTATATCACATGACTTGACATGTTAATTAGCATGCTGATATGATTGTACTACTACTAAGGAATGAGTAGTCTATTGTGGTTGCTTGTTGTATGAAACTATTTAGAGGGAGCATGATAGTATGTCATGCTTGTTGGTGCTTATATTGCTGATGGCTGTCTGTGTGCAATAATGTCAAACCACATATTCTGACATCCTACCTGATGTGTTTATGGAGAACCATAATTACTCTTTGGTAATCTATTACTCTGGTGCTCTGATTTACTTGTGAGGCTTTTGCTGCACGCACTTCTAATGTGTGAACTTGGATAGTTCAAGTTTATTTTTCATGTGATTTTAGTTTTCCCTTTGAAGTTCGGGTTTTGTTTTATGGTGATTTGGGTTTTCCCTTTAAGGGGGATGATTGATTATGTGTGACGGGGGGGGGAGGTATTGGTTCTGTCTGAATTTGTTGAGCTCTGTCATAGGATGGGATTGCTTTTATGTGTGTTGGAGTTATGTTGGTGTGATGTCAGACCACATGACTTGACATCTGACTCCTAGATTTTTTTTTGTTGAAGATATTCTTGTAACTGCAATGTATCTCTGATATATATTTTATGTTTGCAGTTTGTACAAAGTTTACATGTTTCTCATGTAGATTGTGTTTTATGAATATGGTTGTATTCCTCTCTCTAGAATTAATTGTGCTAAGGTTGTTTTAACCAAAATTTGCTAAAGGGGGGGATTATTAGATCCATGGTATTATGATTGGCATAAATTTGACTAAAAAATGATTTATAGAAAATGTTGAGTAAGATATCATGACATCTTGACCAACTGATACAATAAAGTTTGTTGTTAGTATTTTTGAAAGATGTTCTGACAAATGTTTTGACATGTTATACCAGAATATCAGTATATGTTGTTATTATTTTTGACAAATTTGATTTGATTATGTGAGATTCCTTTAGGATATATCTCAATTATTTGCGCAGGTCAAGAAGATTTAATCTAGAGCAACTGATTTGATCTGCAACTGTGCATAAGTTTCTAAAATTGGATGTTAAGACAATTTTTTGGAAACTTAATAATTTGTTCTAGGATTTAAGGAGATTTTTCTATATAATTGATGCAACCATCAGCTTGTGGATCAAGAAATATTTGGGTGAAGATCTTGAAGCTCATGGGTTGTTGAGGAGTATATAAAGAGAAATATAGACCTAATGTTTTTTGACTTTCACAATTTTGTAAAAATAAGGGAAAGGTTAGAGTCTTAGGTTTTGAGAGTCTAGTGTATTTTGTGTGTCACTCATGTATCTTTTGATACATTGAGGTAGACTGATTGTTCATTGTTACTTGATAATCACTCATGAGCTTCTAAGCAAAAGAGTTGATTGTGTATCAAGTTATTGTTCTTAGTTAAAAGTTTTTAAGTAAAACTAAATATTGTTTTCACTCATGAGTTTTTAAGCAAAGAGTTGAGTATTTATTTATTGGAAGTATAATCTTCTGGTTATGGATTTTGTGATTGTTTTATCATTGAGGTGATTGTGAGAAGTGAGAGAGAGTTATCATATCTAAGAGGCTTCTAGGTAGAAATTGCATAGGGTAGTGATTAGGTGATAAGTTGTAAACTGATATTGTTTAGGCTTTGAACTAATATTATTATAGTGGATTTCCTTCTTGGTTTGGATGTCCCCATAGTAGGTGATGTTGCACCGAACTGGGTTAACAATTGGTTGTGTTATTTATCATTCTGCAATTTTCAGTTTGAATTTTTAGTTTTGTCTGTCAACAGATGTCATAACATCTGTCTTGATATTGTGTTATGATGTTGAAACATCAGTATTAATATGTTTTAAGGTGTCATAATTTTAATTGACATCATAGCAGACACTGTATTCTATTTATTGGATGAACTTCATAGAGATTTTTTTCAAAGAATTATACATTAAAAGTAAAGAAGTATGTCAATGAGGAAAAAAACAAAAGGTAACTATTTAAGATTTAAGATAAGATTTTATAGTCAAATTTTGAATCCAATTTTAACAGTAAAATACTAAGAAATGATAGTTACTTGAACCTAATTTAAAAATTAGAATTTAAAGATGATGTTTAGAAGTTTGTAAGTGGTGTATTAAGATATTTTATTGGATAGAATGAATTCATGTGTATATTTTCTTAAAATAAGCACACAAAATCATTTTTATCTGATTCAAAAGCCAATATAAATGAACATACAAATTCATATGTTTTTCTTATAATCTCATTTATATGTTTTTAGTATGCCTTAAAAAAAACATGTCTTTAAAGTTTAAACAATAAAATAAAAACAATAACAAAAACATGACAACATGTTATATTAAAAAATAGTTAGTTGAACCTACTTTAAAAATCCATTCAAAATAAAATCTTTGTTTTCAACTAACTATATATTTGACTCACATTCTTCCTCTTTCTTCTCTACTTCTCAAATCACTCACATAAACCTCTTTAACTATTTCCTTCTTCTGATCAACTCACTGTTTTCTCATTCCACTCTCAGAAACATTGTTGTTTCAGGACAAAACCACAATGGCTGATAAGTACAATGCTGAATCCGCTGAAACATTGGCAAATAATGCTCAGGTTTTTTGGTGTTTTTCTTTTGCAATTCTTATACCTTTTGTTTTTGAGCCTTTGTTCATATTGCTCGTTGTTGATGTTGTTTCTCTGTTGTTGTTTAGGCTTTGCCTATTGCCAAAGCCACACATATCTACGAACAGCTTCTGCAGTTATTTCCAACAGCTGTGAGTGTTGTTGTTGAGTGTTTTGAACCTTTGATTATGTTTTATAGTGAAATGCTTCTGTGAGTGTTTATGGTGAAGTGAACTAGTTTTTAACAATGCTTATTTTAATTCCTACCCAGGCCAAGTTTTGGAAGCAGTATGTGGAGGCACAAATGGCTGTAAATAATGATGACGCTGTCAAGCAGATTTTTAGTCGCTGTTTGTTGAACTGTCTTCAAGTTCCTCTATGGTATGTTGTCGTTTGCTTATTCTGGTTACTTGTTCAACCAAACGTGTAAACAATGTTGTTATTTTAATCTTTGTTTATAGGCAGTGTTACATTCGTTTCATTAGAAAGGTCAATTTCCAGAAGGGTGCCGAGGGTCAAGAAGAGACCATAAAAGCCTTTGAATTTATGCTCAACTATGTCGGTAAATTGTTTCTCATTGTCCCATTAGTTTTGGATTATTGTAGCACCTATTTCGGAGATGATGATGGAAACTCACCTAAGGTGGTTTTGGATTATTGTATGCATGTATATTGATACATCTTTCTAATGATGTGCTGACAGGAGTTGACATAGCATCCGGCCCCGTGTGGGTGGAGTACATATCATTTCTAAAATCATTGCCGGTTAGTTAATATTGCGTTTTCTGCGATTCTTGTTGCATAATTTGGTATCACTTTTCAACTTTTTTGGGTCAATTTCAGTTGCAGCCTGTACATGAACAAGAAGAATCATATCAGATGACTATTATTAGGAATGTCTATCAGAGGGCTATTATTACTCCTACCCATCAAATCGAACAACTTTGGAAAGACTATGAAAATTTTGAAAATTCTGTCAGTCGTCAGCTGGTAATATGCTGCTGGTCTTTATTTCATGCTCGAGTTGTTTAGACGTATTCATGATTACGTTTTTACGTTCTGATGATAAGGTATTTTGCAGGCTAAAGGACTGATATACGAATATCAACCAAAATATAATAGTGCAAGAGCAGTTTATAGGGAACGAAAAAAGTATTTTGATGAAATTGATTGGAATATGCTTGCTGTACCACCAACTGGATCCAACAAGGCAAATTTCTGTTCTTTTGCAAATATACTTTACCATCTAGTCATAGAGGCTCTAATATCGTAGTATGAGCCAATTATTCTATAAGATTAAAATGTTATTTGAATAAAAATGAACGAGTTAATAGTTTTTATATCTCTTACATCATTATTAATTTTGTGTTTGTTACTTTTGACAGGAAGAAATGCAGTGGATGGCATGGAAAAGACTTCTATCTTTTGAAAAGTAAGAAGCATGCATCCTTTTTTCTTTCTCTTAAATTTAATTTTGAGTTAAACCGTTGATACGTATCCAGCCATTATTTGTTTCAGAGGAAATCCACAGAGAATGGACATCCCTTCCTCCAACAAACAAGTTACATTTACTTATGAGCAGGTAGTAGGATATAAAATTTTTTGTGTTTTATTTCTTATATCTTTTTTGGAATTCCTCACTGCATTTTACTGGTATTTAGTGTCTCATGTATATGTACCATTATCCTGATATATGGTATGACTATGCTACATGGCACGTTAATGGTGGCTCGATAGATGCTGCAGTTAAAGTATTTCAAAGGTCTCTGAAGGCTCTTCCTGGTTAGTGGCATTTTTCTTCTATTAATTCTACTTAATTTTCCGATTTTGTAATAGTGTCTGCATATCGTTTTTATTCACAACATTTTCTCGACTCTCTGTGTGAAAACCCTCTCGCCTCTCTTAATATTTGTGTTTTCACCTGTCTTAATTATACTTTCACGTGTCTTACTTACTTGATCTTACATTTTTTACCTTCCAATTCCTCGTTGTGTCTTTTCATTTATAAACAGATTCGGAAATGCTACGATATGCCTATGCAGAGCTAGAGGAATCTCGTGGAGCAATCCAGGTATTTTTAAGGCTTGATCATACTTTAGATCTAGTAAAGGCCTCCATATGGGTCATTTGATATCGTATTCATTGTTTTTTCGACTTGTCTTCATTGGTTATATTAATCCTTAAGGATTTCTATTTCGTTTTATTTCAGGCTGCAAAGGAAATACATGAAAGCGTTTTGGGAGATGGTGACAATACAACTGCACTTACACATATTCAGGTATGTGACTTTTTGTCTAGTATGTTCAATAGTACAGTAGTGTTGCATACTTTAAAAAACAGTAAATAAGTTTTATGGCATGATCAGAAAGTTGAATGTTTTGCCAGTTCAAGTTTTAGTCTAATTTTGTAATAATTGATATATTTCCATGAAAATGATATGACATCTGTTTCATGCTACAGTTTATTCGTTTTCTAAGAAGAACTGAAGGTGTTGAAGCTGCTAAAAAGTACTTTCTGGATGCTCGCAAATCCTCAACTTGTTCATATCATGTTTACGTGGCTTACGCGTCAGTAGCCTTTTGTCTTGACAATGATCCTAAGGTCTTCTATACTATCCTTCATAAGATTTAACAAACTAGTTTCTATTTGTGGAGTCTTATACTTAGTTTTTAACTTCTAGAAAATTAATTCGGATTATCCTTGCAGATGGCTCATAATGTTTTTGAAGACGGATTTAAATGCTTTATGCATGAGCCCGTCTATATTCTCGAGTGAGTTCTACTTTTTCCCTTCTCTGATTAATCTTGTCATTTAACTCCTCCAAAATTTAGTACTAGTTTTTAAATCTTATACAGCATGTTGTTTTTAACTTATATTTTGGAGGATACATCATCTTACCTCAATAGTTGTACTTTTCTTCATTTTTCTTAACAGTAACTCTTTTCCTACCAAAAAAATAGTATTGAATATTAAGAATATTTCCCTGGTGTTTCAGATATGCTGATTTCTTGACTGGTTTGAATGATGACCGAAATATACGTGCTTTATTTGAGAGGGCATTGAGTTCACTTCCTCCAGAGAAATCGGTTGAGGTATTTAATACTTAGTTTTGTATTGGGAAATTGGTATGAACTATGAAGCATAGTTTATGTGCTTATTCAGTTGAAGAATATTCAGTAGTTTGTTTTCTAATGTTCAATTTGCACGTAACTAATCTCATTCGCAGGTTTGGAAAAGGTTCGTTCAATTTGAGCAAACTTATGGAAATCCTGCTAGCATGCTCAAGGTAGTTAGTACTCTATGGATTCGATTAAAGCGATGCTTATGCCTGTTGAATCGACTTCACAGTTCGCACAGATTAACTGTAACCTGTTTTGATAATTTATCCTTGTATAATATGTAGGTTGAGCAAAGAAGGAAAAAAGCGTTTGGTGAAGATGCAACATCAGCATTAGAGAGTTCTCTGCAAGATGTTGTATCACGTTATAGTTTCATGGATCTATGTCCGTGCTCTTCTAATGATCTTGATCATTTATCCCGACGAGAGGTACCAGTTGCTTGAACCTGTGATTCTTGACACTGTGAATTGCTCAGAATTTTCCCATCTTTCACGAGTTCTTCTTCCGTGTCTTATAAGTAATTCCTTTTGATTTCTACCTTTTTAGTGGCTGGCCAAAAATCTCAATAAGAAAGTGGACTTGTCTATTATTCCTAGTGGCACCACTCTTACAGGTATTATACTCAATCTTGCACTCGGTTTCTCAATATTTCTTATTACGCGGTTAATGATATGCTATCAATACAGATAAGGCATCTGCTGCAAACATTTCAAATATGTCATCAAAGGTTGTCTATCTTGATACTTCAAAGATGTTGGTATATGATCCAAAGCAGAATCCGGGTACAGGTGCTGGCACAAATGCATTTGATGAAATTCTTAAAGCTACACCACCTGCTTTGGTTGCATTTTTAGCAAACCTACCCACAGTTTATGGTAATTTTCAATATTTCTGCTAACTATGCAATCTAGAAACAGCAAAAGTATACTTTTTGGATATGTATCGAGAAATATCAGTATCAGATACGTATCAGACACCTATGTACTCTTCTATTTTTAAAGTATATCTAAACGCATTCGATAACTGTGTATTGAAATATACAGGTCCAACTCCAAATGTGGATATCGTACTGTCGATTTGCTTACAGAACGACCTTCCAATGGGACAAAGTGGTAAAATTGGGATTCAATCGCAATTGCCAGGAGGTCCTGCTCCTGCTACAAGTGAACTTTCTGGTAGCAACCATTACGGGAAAAGAAAAGAATTAGACAGTATGTGCATAATCCATTTTTGGACTTATTTCTATAAGCTCTCTACAATAGACACAATCACACAATTCATCAAATATACAAGAATGTGCTTTTAGCTTTTCTTATTCTAGTGTTGAAATCAAACTCCAATTTTAACATGATTGATATTTGTTATTATAATGTTTAGGACAAGAAGATGATGATGCTACATCTCTCCAAAGCCAACCACCTCCTCGCGACGCTTTCCGGATACGGCAGTTCCTGAAAGCTCGAGCTAACAGCACATCACAAACGGGATCAGTTTCATGTGGAAGTGCACTTTCTGGCGATTTATCTGGCAGCACCAGTAGATAACTTAAGTATTGCATTTGTCAAGGGGGGTGGCAATAAATTATTGGCTGTAGCAACAATGAATGATGTAATCAATTGGTTTGAAGTATGTAAATATGGATCCAAATCACATTTTCTAATAGATAATACAAGTGTAAATGTTAAACATAATGAAGAGATTGATGTAAACTAACTAGTTCATAAGATAGATTAATTGAATTGTAACTAACTTCTAGTTAGTTATCAAGTACTTAGATGAATGTTCAAGTTAGTTAGACATTGCTTGCTATATAAGTAAGCTACTTCACTTGAATACAAGCACGATGATGAGTAATAGAACTCTGCAACAATATTTCTCCTACATCCAGTTTTTCTGCATTTTCATATGTTTAGCTTGATTCTTAACATGGTATCATCGATCCGTGATCAAGCCTCCACCGCTACACTCAATTAAATCATCTCATCCACCTTGATTTCTTCTCAGTTTTCCATTCTTTTCTCTATTGATCCTCCTTTGTTTTTTCATGTTAACCATGTCTGTTACAAGCTCTGCAAGTAGCATCCATGGCGGACCTCCATCAAATGCCAATAACAAAGGTTATCAAATTGATACCCTCAACTCTTATTTCATGCATCCCAATGAAAATCCAGTGTTGGTTCTTGTTTCTCCTTTGCTTTCGACTAACAATTATCATTCTTGGTCAAGATCCATGACAATGACTCTAAAATCCAAAAATAAGCTTCACTTCATCAATGGCAGCTTGTCTCGACCACTGGATGAAGATTACCACTTTGTTGCTTGGGATCAGTGCAACACCATGATTATGTCATGGATTCACAAATCTATTGAATCAGACATTGCTCAAAGTGTGATATGGATGGATACTGCAGCTGAAATTTGGGATGAGCTGAGAGATCTTTTTACCAAGGTGATGTATTCAGAATTTCAGATCTTGAAGAAGAAATCTGCAACCTGAAACAAGGTGATTCATCTATATCTTATTACTACACCAAACTTAAGAAATTGGGGCAAGAGTTGGACAATTTCCGTCCAATTGTTGAATGTTCATGTGATATTACTTGACAAGTTGTTATCAAGATTGGTGCTTATAGAGATGGTGATCAAGTTATCAGATTCCTTAAAGGTTTGAATGATCAATACTCAACTGTGAGATCTCAAATCATGTTGATGGAACGCCTTCCAACCATCTGCAGAGTTTACTCTCTTCTTGTTCAACAAGAAAGACAAGTTAGTTTACCGCTTGATGAATCAAAGGTATTAGCCTTTCCTAATCTCAACCAACCTCATAATAATGCATCCAAACCTAGCGGAAATTTTCGTGGAAGAGGCATTAGAGGTGGAAGATCATTTAGAGGAAGAGGTCGAGGTTCTCGAGTATGCACTCATTGTGACATGACCAACCATACAGTTGATTCTTGCTTCAAAAAGCATGGTTATCCACCATATTAGAAGCAATATGGCACAATCAATCATTATGCAGTTGTTCCTGGCAAAACAGATGCATCTTAAAATGATTTCAATGGAGATAATGAGAAAATTCAAGTTAATTTGGCATTCACACCTGACAAACATAAAGCATTATTGGCCCTTCTTCGAGGAATCTCATCCTTATCATCTTCTCAGGCTCACAACATCAACCATTTGACAACTCAAATTGAAAATAGCTCAGGTATCATATTCATTATTCCTAACTCTCCTAGACCTGAGAATTTTATCCTTGATACTGGTACAACAGACCATGTTTGTCATAAAAAATATTTCTTTCAATGCATCAAAAGAATCAATCACATAACCATCAAACTACCAAATGGAGCCCTTGTCACTACCAATTATGCCAGCACCATCCATTTTGACAAATATTTGTATACCATTGATGTACCATACATGCCTGATTTCTATTTTAATCTCATTTTTGTTCCTAAGTTAACCAAAACTTTGAAATGTTAATTGATGTTTAATGATAATGATTGTATGATACATGATACTCACTCCAAGAAGATGATTTGCATAACTAGATTGAATGGTGGAATGTATATCTTAGATTTTGCTTTAGTTACCTTGAATCATACTCCATTTACTCATTCCATCAATACTTTACATGATCAGTCTTTAGAAACAACTCATAATTGTAATCTTTGGCACTTATGACTTGTCCACCCATCTAATACCAAATTAATTCAGTTACATAAATGTTTTCCTTTTTTCAAATTTGTCTCTTATGCTATTCCTTATAATGTATGTTTCTATGCTAAACAAAAGAGACTCCCATTTTCTCACAGTCCTCATGTTTCCAATTCTATTTTTGACTTGGTGCACACTATCCACACCATCTATGATGGGATATAGATATTTTCTTACTATTATGGATGATAAGAGCATATTCACTTGGTTATTTCTCATGAGATTGAAATCTGATGCATCATCCATCATTAAATCATTTGTATCAATGACCAAAATTCATTTTAACATAACCATTAAATGCATTAGGTCTGATAATGGTTGTGAATTCATTATCACATACTTTTACAAACAATTTGGCATTATCCATCAAACATCTTGTGTTGGTACTCCTCAACAAAATGACATTGTTGAAAGGAAGCACCAACATATTTTAGGTATCACTTGAGTCATCTTATTCAATCTAAATTACCTCATATTTTTTGGTCTCATGTTGTTGGTCATGCAATTCACATCATTAATAGCTTGCCTACCATTTTCTTAAAGCATAAGTCACCTTATCGAATCTTGTACAATAGATAACCTGGCCTTACAAATTTAAAAGTTTTTGGCTCATTATGCTTTGCTTCTACTTTGAAAGCTCACAGAAAGAAGTTAGATTCTAGATCTAAAAAGTGCATATACTTAGACTAAACCTAGACCAAAGGTCACATTTTGTTTGGTTTGCACTATAAGGAATTGTATGTGTCAAGAGATGTAGCTTTTTTTAACACCATTTTCCATATAAACAATCATCCATTGATACTCATCACCCTGGTACTGAGGCTCAGATTTATAATCATACTTGCTTAGATGACCTCTTAGATCACTCATACACACATACTCCTCATAACACTTCTTCTTTCAGCCCTCATAATACACATGTTACATCTACTCCACATGATTCTCCTTCACATGCCCTGGTACTTGCATCACCACTTGTCTAAGATCCTCTTACTTCAAACAATAATGTGTCTGGTAACAATCATCCTCCTCAAGATCTCTTACCTATCATAAAATCTACCAAACATACTAAATCTCCTACATATTTACAAGATTACCATTGTAATTTTCTCTACAATACAATCCCCATTTCAGAAGCAGTTGGTCCCAATTCATCTTATCAATGTAAGTGCCCTTTATCATCCTTTTTATCATATGATGCATTTTCTCTTGCACACAAAAATTTCACTTTAAACTTATCTGCCATAAGTGAACCTCAATCATATGAGTCAGCAGTTTATGATTCCAATTGGAAGGATGCCATTCAAACTGAGTTGACTGCTTTGATTAAAACCAATAATTGGTCTCTTGTCCCTTTACCTTCACACAAGAAATCCATTGGATGCAAGTGGTTGTTAAGGTGAAAATGCATGCCAATGGAACTGCTGAGAGGTACAAATAACATTTGGTTGCTAAGGGTTTTACACAAATTGGAGGATTAGATTACATGGACACCTTCATCCATGCGGTAAAAATGACAACAATTCGAGTGCTAATGGCCATTGTTGTTGTTCATGACTGACCACTCTTTCAACTTGATGTAAATACAACATTTCTTCACGGAGACCTAAATGAAGAAGTCTATGTAAGAACCCCTCTTGGCCTGGAATTACAACACCCTAATCTTGTGTGAAAATTGCAAAGATCCTTGTATGGACTGAAGCAGGCAAGTCGACAATGGAATACCAAACTTACCGGTGCACTCATTTCCACAGGATAAATTCAATCAAAGGCTTACTATTATCTCTTTGTCTAGACTTCCTCACTAGGTTTTACATTCATCCTTGTATATGTGGATGATTTAGTTCTATGAGGAACTGATCTTGAAGAAATAAAGCTGCTGAAAGCACTCCTGAATGCCAACTTTAGTAACAAAGACCTATGAGTTTTGAAATACTTCAAAGGATTTGAAGTTGCTCGAAATGCATAAGGTATTTCTCTTTGTCAAAGTAAATATGCCTTAGATCTCATACATAATGTAGACTTCATTGATGCCTACAATACACCAATGCAACCCCACTTACAACTTCACAAGACCTTAGTACTCTTATTTCAGATCCCACTGCATATCGCAGACTCATTGGTAGACTCTTGTACCTTACTCACTCTAGGCTTGAGATTGCTTATGTAGTAAGCTAAGTCAATTTCTTGATGCTCCAACTGACAAACATATGTTCGCTGACCTTTATGTCCTATGATTCCTCAAACATAATCTTGGCCAAGGAATATTCTTCTGCTTATCTTCCAACTTATGCCTCAGGGATTTTCTTATTCTGACTAGGGAGTTTTCCCAAACACATGCAGATCCACCATTGGTATTTGTTTCTTCCTCGGGAAATCTCTCATCAGCTGGAAAAGCAAGAAACAAGTTATTGTATCTCGATCATCTTCAGAGGTTGGATATTGAGCATTGGCTCATGTTACTTGTGAAGGCATCTGGCTCCTATCTCTGCTCGATAACTTCAACATTCCACATCAATCTCCAATCATTATCTACTGTGACAACAAATTTGCAATACATAGATAAGGGTCAAAATGTGCTGATTATTTGTCTTAAATGGTGGCACTTATTAACTTGATTTATTGGATTCACAAATCAAAACATCAAATTTTGTATAAATATTAGTTTTATAGTTTTATCATGTAAATATTGTGTAAATTGATCATTTGCAACTCATTTGGTAGGTATATTTGCATTGGAGGAGTTTTGGGTATTAAAAGGCAAAATAATGACTTCAACATGCATTTTTTTATCAAAAACAAACCTACAAGTGGGGTTAAA